CTGAAGGTAGAGCCAAGAGCTTTCTTGCAGTCTGTGTTGAATGGAGCCACAGGTCAGTTAGGATACCTGGCCCAGAGCACCTTGAGCTGGTGGACCTGCGTGGGACTTGAGCCCACTCTACTGACTCTCCCCTCCCCAACCCAATTTTGGAATCACGCTGAGTCTTTACCTATTGCTGTTCTCTGCCTCAGTCCAAAAGGTGACAAGGAGTGCCTTCACCCATCTAGATAAGTGACTTTTACTGATAATTCCCCCAAATCATTTTATCTTCATAGCCACCACTCCTTCCTCTTAAAAACCTGCAAAGGATCCCTTTCCATTTGTCGTCTTTACTCTTTCAGTCCTCTGGTAAAGCTGGAAGTGCCTGAAAGAGGCAACCGGAGCCAAGGCTGCCGTAATCCACATGCTCTGGACGTTACCCTGGGTGACTCAGATTTGGTTGCATTTGTCATTTCACAACCACCTGCATCTGATCCCACTGTGTGGCACACTCTCTGCTGGGAGTCTCTGCCTGGTGCCTGGTCTTGAGAGCACAGCGTTCTTTTCCAGAATTGCTTTTCCCAGCTCTTTCTCTCTAGCTTTGGCCATAGGGTTCATTAGTGAAAGCTGCCATGCCTACCCACGCCATTCACTTTTGTTAATAATCATTTCGTTCGTTCTTTTTTTTTTTTTTTTTGAGACAGAGTCTTGGTCTCTCACCCAGGCTGGAGTGCTGTGGCGAGATCTCGCTCACTGCAACCTCTGCCTCCCCCTAGCTTCAAGCCATTCTCCTGCGTCAGCCTCCCAAGTAGCTGGGATTACAGGCGCCCATCACCATACCTGGCTAATTTTTGTATTTTTAGTAGAGATGGGGGTTTCACCATATTGGCCAGGCTGGTCTTGGAACTCCTGATCTCATGATCTGCCTGCCTTGGCCTCCCAAAGTGCTGGATTACAGGCATGAGCCACCACGCCTGGCCATTAATAATCATTTCAGAAGAAAATACATACCATCATATGCCAGTCACGTTAAATGCTCTCCATGCATTATCCTCATAGCCTTAACAACAGTCTTATCAATTATCCTCATTTTGCAGATTTGGAAGGTGGCAATTGGGGAGGTTGCCCTCATCTTTTCAGTTACCTAACTTAATATACGGGAGGAATTGTACCTCTTGCAGTCTATATTTCATCTCATTTAATCTTTGCATTGATTTATAAGTTCACTGTTATTTCTATTTACAGATGAAGAAGCTGGGGCTTAGTTTAAATAACTTGCCCAAGGTTGCTCTATCTAATTAGTGAGAGAGTCTGAATTCAAACCCAGGCCAGTGTACTCCAGTACAAGTGCTCTTTATCTTTGCTCTTCTGTATTTGTTTATTAAGTTAAAATATCTACTTTTTGGGCTGACAAGGTTGATAGCTCTTTGAACTCCTGGCCTCAAGGGATCCTCCCATCTCGGCCTCGCAAAGTGGTGGGATAACAGGCATAAGCTACCATGCCTGGCCAAAGCTAATTGTTTCTATTGGATTTGTTTTCTAATGCTTTCTCCTTTTTAAATGGGGGAAGAGAGGGAAATGGTGTACTATAGTGTAAGTTCCTTGAAGACTTTCTGTTCTTTTTTGATTTTGTTTTTGGAGACAGAGTCTCTGTCACACAGGCTGGAATGCAGTGGTTTGATCTTGGCTCACTGCGACCTACACCTCCTGGGTTCCTGTGATTGTCGTGCCTCGGTATCCCAAGTAGCTGGGACTACAGGCACGTGCCACAATGCCTGGCTCGTTTTTGTATTTTTAGTAGAGATCAGGTTTTGTTTGTTTGAGATGGAGTTTTGTTCTTGTTACCCCGGCTGGAGTGCAATGGCGTGATCTTGGCTCACTGCATCCTCTGCCTCCTGGGTTCAAGCAGTTCTCCTGCCTCAGCATCCGGAGTAGCTGGCATTACAGGCATGCGCCAGCATGCACAGCTGATTTTTGTATGTTTAGTAGAGACAGGGTTTCACCATTTTGGTCAAACTGGACTCAAACTCCTGACCTCAGGTGATCCACCTGCCTCCCGACTTTAAATGAGATGAAATACAGATTGCAATACAGACCTTAGGTGATCCACTGCCTCCCAAAATTAAATGAGATGAAATACAGACTGCAAGAGGTACAATGCCTCCTGTATATTAAGTTAGGTAACTGAAATCACCTCCCAAAGTGCTGGGATAACAGATGTGAGCCACTGCACCCAGCTGAGATCGGGTTTTACCATGTTGCCCAGGCTGGTCTCCTGGCCCTCAAGCAATCCATCCACCTCAGCCTACTAAAGTGGTGGGATTAGAGGTGTAAACCACCATGCTCTTTTTCTTTTTTCTTTTTCTTTCTCATGACTACTTTTGTGCCAGCTTGTTGTTCTTTTTAAGCATTATATTCACTGATGCATCCCAAGCACTTGCCATATTTAGTGCCTGGCACATACTAGGTGCTCAGTGAGTATTTGTTGAAGGAATGAATGAGGAAGGGGTTACTTGACCTGTTTCACAAGTGGCGATATTGACACAGAGCAGTTGGATATCCTGCCCATAGGCATGCACAGTTGTTGAAAACAGCTTTTGCTTTTCACACACAGATCATTTTTTTTTTTAACAGATTTTTTTTAAAATACGTATAAAATGGAAGGCATTAGATCTTAGTCATGGGATTGTAGAGTGTGATATAACACTATAAATACTTACCCAGTGTCTGGTACACTGTAAACATTCAGTAAGTGACTCTGCTATGGTTGGAGCTTCTTTTTTGCATGTACCTTGATTTGGGGTAGGATTGCCACACAGATTAGGAAAGTTGAAAATTTGTGAGCCATGGAAACCTTTTAAAAACATGTTTAGTTAATCTCGTGTTTCTATCTTTGCTATATTATCCTTCAAGCAATACAAGTAGTCAAATTGGTAAAATGAGTTCACGTTTATCTTCGGCAGGTGGACAAGTGGTTATGACTGGCAAGATTTGATTAATGGTATTTGCATTTTCCCTGTTTAAAATCAGAGAGTATTTCACTGGAAGGGGCCTCAGGGAGGCATGGTTTCTTTCTTTTCCTTATACTCCCTTAACTTAAAAATGAGGCCTAGAGAGATGCAGGGGCAAGCTGGATGGGGAACTCTGGTCTTGCATGTCAGATTCTCTTAGAAGTCAGCTCACCCTGCCAAATCCAGGTGCTTGGAGTGTTGTCCTCAATGGGTTTGTCTGAACACTTGCATGCTGGAGCCACAATTCCTGCTCCGATGTGATTATATCAATAATCCACCAAGAGCCAGTAAGTCAAAACCAGGACTGTTTAAACATTTCTTTTTTATCCATCATAAAATGTTCTTAGCCAGGAATGGTGGCACACCTGTGAAGTCCCAGGCACTTGGGAGGCTGAGGCAAGAGGATCTCTTGAACCTAGGAGTTTGAGATCAGCTTGGGCAGCATACTAAGACTCCATCTCTAAATAAGTAAATGAATGAATGAATGAATGAGTGTTCTTACTGTAGATAAGAAGGAATATGAAGCAAAAACAAGTTATCATCCTAAATTAAGATTACAAAGCACATAGTCCTAAGGATTAAAAATTATTTTTCTCATCAGATTTTTAATTATTTTACTGTATATATGACCACAATAGAAGAATTATAAGTGAACTTAAAGAAAAAAACATCTAATGATGCAAAGAGGAAAAAGAAAAGTAAAATTATGCCCTCAAGTAAGAGGAAACCATTGTTAATACTTTATATCTCCTTCTAGATGGTTTTCCATGGATATTTACACATATAACAAAAATGGGATTTATTGTGGACAATTTAAAAACCTATTTTTGTACATGTCTTTATGCCATATGTTTTAGAATTTTAATATTATATAGCAGGGCTTTTTTGGTGTCTTCAAATATTCTTGAACATGAAAATCACATTATTTCAATGTGGTATAATTTGGGGGGCAAGGTCATAGGCTAATGTTTTAATTATTTTGCATTCCCTGGGCACTCATTGTGTGAGTGAAGGAAAGGTATTCTAGGTTACATGAAATTAATATAGTATTAAACTTTTTATGGTAAATCATGAATCCATAATTCATCAGAAATTTATTTTAAAGAGGAAAATACCAAACTGACAAAATGTGTTTATTTTTGGATAGCATGTGATCTGTCATCTTATTACCTCAAACACGTGAGGGTTACTGATGAAAAACAAATTGAGCAGTTTGAAAAGTCCTTCCTCTAGGGCTGGCCTCTCTTGTGAGGAAGGCGTTTGTCCTCTTATATAGGGCACTGTGTTATGAACGTAGGATTGATGTGATGTGTTCTTTACCTGTGGTGGTGGTGGTTTTTAAGGCAAAAACACACATACTTTTATTTTTGTTTAACCTAAAGCTTGCCAGCTTCTTTCCCTGAACACCATTTGTCTTGTTTTGATACCCACCTACACTTATATTAGAAACACACTGCAAACTACTTAGTGATTCCACCTTGAATTTATAGTCATATGAGTAAGATGTTTTGAATATAAGCCTATCCATATGCCTGATATAAATTTCAGGAACTCTTAGTGTCTCTTCTTTTATAGAAACTCTACCTTTATCCTGATGTAATTAGGTTGGTTAAGAAAATTAAAGACCACAGGCCAGAAAACTAACTTCCACAAATTCAACAAAAGGAAAAGTTTTTCCAAGTACCTCTATGCAATGGGAAATCTTTCTTTTATGTACCAAGTCAGTTTCTTCAACCGTAAATGTATTCTAATTTGATGGTTTTCAAATATAATGCAGTAACAACAAAATATAATAAAATTAAGACTATAAGAAAACAGTAAATGGTATAATTCAAATAATGACAAAAATAAAATTACATTATGGATTTTGTAATCAATGTATAATTATATATTTAAATTTTACTTTATATACATAAGCTAAGGAGGTTCACCATAATTTCAAATTTTATCAAGTCACTTGTGCTATTTTATCACATTTGAAAATATTCACTTTATTATTTACTTCAAACAGCAATCTATAAACTTGTTTTCTTCAGGATAATTTAAAAAATTAAATGATGTGTTGAACATACTACTAAAGGAACTTTACGTTTTGATTATGGCCTCTACACTGAAGATCTGTAGGAATTTTTCTGATTATTTTCAAATCTTCCTATGACCTCTCTTCATAGAAATATCATCTTTGAAATAATTTGTGTGAATACAAATCACAAATGGATGCACATGATCGTATTACCATAATCACTAATTTTAAGTCTCCTAGATATTTTCTATATCATTTTTCTTGCTTATGTCAGTAATATGAACATGCTCTTCATATAACAGAATATTTAATTACATCAGTTTCCCATCAGCCCACCAAAGTCACTTAATTATATTGGTTATTTCCATTGATTGGCAGGAGGCTCTTCCACTAACAGCTCCCATGGTTTCTGTGTCATCATTTTTCTTGCCAGACCTAGTTCATAGCCAGCTTCTCTTTTGTAATCTGTTCTGTATACTTTCTGTATGCTGCATTTTTAGGGATTTCTTCAAGAACATCAAGAACCTTTCTGTACAATATTCTTAGCCTCTTGTGTGGACTCTTGCACACAGCTAATCCCACAAGGCCAGTGGTCTTCACACCTGCCCTGACAGCGCTAACGAGTCAATGACCTGTGGTTGTATTTTTATGGAATTTCTTTTTTTTTTTTTTGAGACGGAGTTTTGCTCTTGTTACCCAGGCTGGAGTGCAATGGCGCGATCTTGGCTCACCGCAACTTCCGCCTCCTGGGTTCAGGCAATTCTCCTGCCTCAGCCTCCCGAGCAGCTGGGATTACAGGCATGCGCCACCATGCCCAGCTAATTTTTTTTTGTATTTTCAGTAGAGACGGGGCTTCACCATGTTGAGCAGGATGGTCTCGATCTCTTGACCTCGTGATCCACCTGCCTCGGCCTCCCAAAGTGCTGGGATTACAGTCTTGAGCCACCGTGCCCAGCCCTGGAATGTTTTTCTTTAAATCAATGTCACGTTACTTGGACATTCTAGAGCAGTTTTTCTCAGTCTTTTTATAAAAGTAAGATACTCTTTTAATGTAAAAAATTTCCAGACCCAAGTATGATTTAAATTATTTTTTTTAGATTCTGTTGAGAAGCTCTAATGACAGAAAAACTCTCTTAACATTTTAGTGCAGCTTATCTTTATTAAATGTAGCAGCTTCTTCATAGACTTGCAAAATAATAGTACTTATATGTGTAAATTTACTTGATTTCTAGATGCTTGATGAGCAAATGAATAAGTAGATCCCTTGAAATAGCTCCCTGGAGAGCCTCTGCTCTAGAGGAAGACATATCCTGCATATGTAATTCTAAAGTCTAATGTCAGGAAAAGAATGATTAGACGAGTTCTGAACTGCAAGTGGAGTTCTGTAACTCCAGAGCTAAAAGCCACTGTATGACAAGTTAGGAAGATATATTTTCTTCCACCTGTTCATACACTGAATGGTTTCGAAAGCAGCCCTTGATATCACCTCATTTTCCTCATTTCAAAGAATTCAGTTGGGGAAGAGAACACAATCCACCAGATTGTTAGAAACATTTGAACATACCTAATGACTCTCCCTTGGCTCTTTTAATTAATCTACTGTGATCTATTAGAGAGAGGACTGGGTTTGTCAGCTAGGAGACTACAAACATAAGGTCTTGGCTGTAAGCCCAACCTTGATTATGATGAAAGAAAAAGATAAGCTTCACACCTTGGTTTTTCCGCCTCTAAAACGGGTAGAGTATCTTCCTTGTATCTTCTTAGGATGTGACACAATGATACCCATAGGCAGCAGTTTCTTTCTTTTTAATCAGTAAAAGTAAACAAAAACCTTTGTGAAGGTAGAAGCTATTAATAAGTACCATATAAAGGAATAGGACCATAAATCTCGGGAAATTCTAAGCATTCTAAACGCTGCTTTTAGGCAGGGCAACAGCCAAAAGACCAGCTGGTAGATTGAGACCTTCCTCAAAAACCTGGCTTTGTTCTCTTGTGGTTCCATTTTCCTCTTTTCAAATGGGGTCTAGTGGCTTAGTTGTGGTTATTCCACAGTGATGCCTCTTTTATTGCTATTCTTACAGTTCTGACAACAACAGCATTCTTGCACCACTTAACTCTCCAAGATGTAGGCAGGGGAGGCAGCTGCCTCATTTCTGATGTGCCTGTATTACCTGCAGCAAAAGCATCCCAGCGTTCTACCTTTGTCTAGGAGTTGGGGTTGGGAGCAGGTATTCAGTTTAAGTTTTATATGCCATCTGTATATTTTCAAAAACATTTAATAGGATCTTTATTTCAAGCTTTTATAGCCCTTTCAAGTTGCTCTAGGGAACTTTCAGCAGTTTCTTAGCAAAACAGGTAGACAGTAAGTGTGAATCAGCTGAGTCCAGGAAAGAATGGGGTTTGGGAAGACCATATTGTTTGGATTTTCTGCTAATACTAAAACTGAATTTTTACAACACAGGCAGGGAGAATTACTGTCATGTGGTGGGACCAGGTGGGAGAGGTGACATATGACTAAGTAAATCAGCTGACCTCAGTTAAAGGGCTGTGACCATCCATACAATGGAACCCGTACCTGGTCCAACTGTTGCTCAGTTGAGTGAGATTCCCATGTCTGAGGGGGTGATTGGGGTGATGATGACTTTTGATGGAACTGACCTTACACAGGTTTCCAGGGGGAAAAACCCACCAAACTTTAAGAATTCCAAAACAATTTCACAATTCTGATTTTAGTAGAGGTTTGATTTGAAAAGGGACTCCATCTGTACCTTCTCTCTTGCCTTTGTTTTATAGATGTCAGTAATGCCAGTATTTTAAAAAGTAGAAATGAATTATAAACTATATCTTAAGGATTGTGTTAATTGGTTAGGATTTCTTCCCCTTTCAGTAGCTTCAGATCCCAATAGGTAGGCAAAATGAAGATAATAGTAAAAAACTAAGCTTTTCGTAAGAGATGTTATTTATTTTTAAGTAGAGATGGGATATTGCCATGTTGCCCAGGCTGGTCTCGAACTCCTGGGCTCCAGCAATCCTCTAGCCTCAGCTTCCCAAAGTGTTGGGATTACAGGGATGAACCACTACCCTCAGCCTGAGATATTATTTGAGTAGGAGATCATGAATATATATAAGGAACTTAGGAGTGCATATGTAAAGTTTTCTCTTGAACCTACATTTTTGATCAGGGGAAGAGGTGATTTTTTAGGTATAATAATGTGCAAAGTAATGAATAACAGTCTCTAAAGACATTTAAAACAATAAAGTATAAATGTCTTTATTCAGAATGAGCTGAGTTCTGAAGCCTCATGTTTTCAAGAATTTTTTATCAGGTGGCTTGTGAAAGCCTGTCATTAACTAAACCTGTGTTGTGTTTCCCTCAGAATTTCATTAAAAAGGTATGCATAGGTTCACATCCCCCTTACGTGAAGGGGCACTGAAACAGAAACTTGATAGAAATATTGAGGAGGGAAAAGATAAAGCCACTGTGGCACCTGGCCTCCTTCTTTCACTTCCCTTCCCAATTCTGCCCCTTTGAGATATTCTTTGAGAAGATGGAGGAAGCTTGCTATGCTTGGGGTCATCACCCTGGATCTGGTGACGGGAGTGGCTCAGCACTGGGAGTTCCCTTCCCAAAGCCCAGAGCTAACTCATCACGTCCAGCTGCTGTCAAGAGTTGGGCAGTCCTGTCTCTTGGCTTTCCTGGGAAGGCCTGAGTGAGGTGGCAGAAGCAGGGAAGGGACCATGAGAGTACCTGGTAGACCTAATGCCGCCTTCCCCCTCCCAACCCCACCCAGGCCATCTAGGAAGGAGTTACCATGTGGACTGGGGTACAGGAAGGCAGAGAATAGAGGGTTGGAATCCAGAAAAGAGGGTGGAGGGCCCGACTGCAGTTACTGCCATTGTCTGAGGACAGACTAAGCCCTGGTGCAGAAATTGTTTGGCTGTTGGCCTTTTCTCTTCAGATGTTCTCATGCAGGAAGTGTCTTAAAAGTATGGTTTGCTAACCTGAGTATATCATGCATGTGCACATTTGGATGCCAAACATATAGGCAGATAAAACTGAGAAGCCAAATGCTAAGAGAGTTGTTGATGAATTGAAACCAGCCTGACTGGCTGCACTGTTGGAGTCATTTGCCCACACAGCTCCAAACTTCTGTTTGGTCTACTAAAAACATTAGTTGGAAAGGTACAGCATTAACTTAAGGCAGGGAAGCCTCCAGCACGTGAGAAAGCCGTGCCTGTCTCGGTGATGCTGGGAGGGAAGGATGGGAGATGAGAGTCATTTCACTGCTGCCTGGCTCCTCCTCTTCCTCTCCCTGCCCTGGAGCGGCAGCCTCAGCTTTCCAGAGTCTCTTGACTGGTGCTAGGCCCCACGAGCGGTTGGATTTTAAGTATTTCTCAGTTATTTTCAGTATCATCAGTCATCACTTTCAGAGTTTCTTTTCTTTTTCAAGGGTACCCAGTCTAACTGTTTAGCTCCTTTTCAATAGCCCTCCTCACTCACTTATGCTCAGTCAGGAAGATTAATAATGTTAACTGATTTACTATCGCTGCAAAAAACATTAGTTAATTAGACTTTTACACCTCAGTCAGATGGCATTAGACACCCTTTGTGTGCTTTAACTCAAGGATGTTAAAGACCTAAATCTCTCAGAAAAAAAGAAAAGAAAGAAAAAGGACAGGCACTTTTCCAGTTTAAGCTGCATGTTGGTCCATGTTAATTAGGCATTTGTCCTTTAGTCTGGAGGTGATAGAAAATGCCAGTTACTGTGGTATTTAACTGACATCAAACTCCTGTCCAAATAATTCAGTTGGGCCCAGCCTTCTCTCTTAATTGGTGGGAAGGAAAACTTCGGCACACACCCAGAATAGAGGAAACTGTTACTTACATTGAACATTTTGAAGTTTCATTCTGAAGGATCTGAAGGACATTTGAATGTTTTTTAAATTAACTATCCAGTTGAGCTTTTTTAAAACAGTAACAAAAAATCTCCCTTAAAACTTGAGCTACCCAAAATGATTAGCTTTTGTAAGTCTTCAGAAAATGAAAGTTTAGTAACTGTTATCCAAGGTCAAAGTGGTGGTTGTTACCCAAGGCCCTTATAGATTTATGTATCTCTTTGGCCTTGTTTTAAAAAGTGCTCTGAACATTGACAGTTTTCTAGCTCATACTTATATTTCTTTTTTAATACCAGAAATTCACAAATAGGTTAAGGCACCCAGCAGCAGCATACACATTGAAAAATCAACATATGATAGCATGTTGGGACAAAAGTGACATGAATATGATTGTTTCATGGGAGCAGTTAGATGACACTTCGTTTTGTTTTTTAAAGCCACTTGTTCCTAGTTGCTGGAGAAGGTAATCCCCCATAACGAGTATAGTTTACCTTTTTCATGAGTAAGGTAAAACAATTGCAAAAATAATGAGAATATGTTTTTTCTAACTAGTGGGTAGCTATATTTGCTTTTAAACCTTACTCACTTTGTGTATGGTTTCTAGCCAAAGGTTCACACATTTGAGAGCATTTCACTATTAGTACTGAACTACTTTTTCATGCACTGAATGAATACAATATGTTAACACTCCTGTAAGGCCCAGAATTGCTTGGCTGCCCCTTGCCCTGCCTGCCTGGTACTGGCTGAAAAGGTACCATTGTTTGTTCTGCAAACACTGGGTGATGTTTGTTTCCAAGGTGACTGGTTCTATTGCTGCCTTTGAAGCAAGGTGGGGGGGTGGGGGAGAGAGAAAGTTGGCTTTAAACACCTGAGAGCATCCTGTTCTGAGTACAGTGTGCGTATGTATATGTGTGTAAGTTGAAATTTTATTTTAACTGAGGTAACCGGAGAGAAAGGAATAGTGTAGAAATGAGAGGAAAAGACAGTGTCAGTAAGCCAAAAATATTAGTAGGTTTTGATATTTAACTCAGTATACTTTGAGAGAATGTAATGGTCCAAAACGTTAAAGATCTGGTTAGACTGAAGTTAACTAGTTAAGGGGAGAAAAATGTCTTAGATGCTGACTGTTGAAATGTTAAATTTATTTTTGCATGAAATAGTTTCCTTCTGCTATAACCTATGTGTGGCTATTCAGATGAATAAATAACTTGACAATATAATTTAATTGGTTATTGATCAGGTAGTTGGGCCTTCAAAAAAAAAGTATGGGAGAACATGAAATATAAACAGATTCAAGTTCCATAAAAAAAGAAAATCTGTAAAATCATTCAGGTATATTTGTGTCCAAAAATTTCCAAAAAGATAAAATAGATAATCTTTTCATTGGTGATATATATTGGCTTAATTTATTTGACTTTGGAAATTCATATTTTATCAGTCAGAACCTTAGATTCAGACTAGAAAAAAATTCCTTGTTGGTCCATTTCCCCACCCACTCTTTTTTATTGTACATAGATGCTGTTAGCAGAACTTTGGCTTTTTCATTCCTATCAGGTTTAGTACAGTTCATGCGCAGGTTTCAGTAAACATTAACTACTTTTATCAGGACTTGCAGTGTGCTGAATGGTTAGCACAGAGAGTGTACTGCAAGAGACAGATGAAAATGAGAGAGTCCAAGGTCACATGGATGTTGAATTTGTTTTAATTATTGAGAATTTAGGGGAAAGACCATCAGGCCTCACACTTTAAATCTCTTTATGTGGGCCTGCCATAGGGCTTCTTTGCCAGCTTTTTTATGTACTGAAGGTAAAACATTTGTTCATGGTGTGAGTGGTAAGGCAAGTAACTTTAAAACATGTTTTTTTCTTTCAATTAAAAAAAATTATTCAGGGCTTCTTTCTAGGATGAAAGATTCTCAAGGCCCTATCAAAGACAACACAACACTTATCATGGTGATTCTGAAGACCCCTTTGAATTTTATAAGGATCCTTTTTTTCCCCTTCTCAAAGATTGTTTAGGATTGCCTTCTGATAATCAATTTCGTTTCTGGAGTTAGCGCAGTTACTCGTAAACTAAGTGCTAGGATGAAATCTGAAACACCGATGTAGAATAAACATGTGTTTTGAGATCATGTAACGTTCCCCAACTTTTGCCTATCAATTTTGAAAACGGGAATGTGATTTGTGCTTATTTTTAGAGAAAACGACATGAACGTTTAAGAAATTACTGACAAAAATTCTTCTCCTGCCCCTCCGGTCCTGTAGATTTTGAAGCCGCTGGGCCCCGCTTTTTACTCCCTAGCTGGACAGCTGGTTCGGGTTCTGCCCCATGACTAACGCAGCTGACCCTGAAGTGGAAGTTGCGAACATAGAACAAGCGTTGTTCCTTAGGGTGGTGTCCCTAAACTTGAAATTGAACTTGGTCCTGCTTGCGGGTGGGCTTGCACGCGCCAGGCTTCGTGTGGTGGCTCTCGCGCGCTGGCCCTGGAGCGCCAGCGTGGGTGACCCGTGCCCCACCTCAGACGGTCTTTTCACCCTGTTCCGCTTCTGGGCGGGGTGAGGGGAAGACAGAGGGTGCCTTCCCTCAGAGCCGGGCAGCCATTGTGCCTTGGGAACACGGTCTGAGTAGAGTTGTGTTGGCACGGATGAAGGTGCTCAGCGGCCCTCCTAGGGACTCGAGGGTCTGTCCGTGCTCTCCTTGTCCAGGAGCTGCGGGCAGGGAGCGGGAGGTGGACTGCCAGCATCGGCTTGGGTCAAGGCTCCACTGCTGCAGGGGGCCCCATCGGTCCGCCCCCAGGGCGCCTGGGGTGGGTGCACTGTGAGCGGGTAGCGAGGCCGTCAGTCAGGGCGGCGGGCGCTGATTGGCTGGCGGGCGGGCGGGGGCCGGGCGGGGCGGGGCTCAGCGTTCGTTCACGCTGGGGTTCCCCTGTGAGGAGCGCTGCATCTTCCAGCGGATCTTGAAGTGCTTTCCTCAGCTGCGAAGGGCACGGTCGCTGGGAACACAACCTAATGAAGAACCAAAGCTTTAGCAACTGAGCTCAAATAATAAGTTCCTCCCAGGGAAAGATTAGAAGATGAGTTTGTGCTCGGAGTGAATCCGTGCCCGCCCCACCTCCCCCCCCCGCCCGACTTTCTTCACCAATTAGAGAGCATTTAGCCTGTGACCACTTAAATTTTCGCAAGATTTGCATAGACATGAATGTGACCACTCGCATTTTCTATTTTTTTCCCCAAATCAGTCTCCATTGGAATTTTTGACTTCCCTGATGGCTATTTCGGAATAAAACCATGTAGCTGGGTATTTCATGATGGGTAGCTCCAAAAAAATTTTTTTTAAAGAAAGAAAACCCCAGGGATCTAGAAAATGCTCCCAAAGCCTTTTTTGACGAGGAGGAGGGGTGCAGACACTGCCTTCGGCACAGCGGACCTGGAAGGAGTGGGGTGTGTGCAGGACAGAGCCCAGGAGAACCGTTAGACGTGTGGCCAGGCCGGGAGGCAGGGCCTTCTGCCTTTCTGTCTCTTTCTGGCTCTTTCCGCAGAGGCCTGGGCAGTTGCCTTCTCCTTTCTGAAAAGAGCCGTTTTCTGGGCTGGGCACTGTGTCTGCCTCCGGGCCGGGCGTGGTGGCTCACGCCTGTAATCTCATCACTTTGGGAGGCTGAGCTGATGATCATCTGAGGTCAGGCGTTTGAGAACACCCTGGGCGACATGGTGAAACCCCGTCTATACTAAAATAATAATAATAATAATAATAATAAAACTAGCCGGGCGTGCTGGGCGCATGTAGTCCCAGCTCCTCAGGACATTGAAGCAGAATTGGTTGAACCCTGGAGGCGTGAGCTGAGATCGCGCTTCTGCACTTCAGCATAGCAACAAGGGTGTAACTCCATCTCCAAGAAAAAAAAAAAGCCATTTTCTGGGAATGAAGGTGGAGGGCCACACAGAGCCCAGCCAGCTCCCGCGGCTTCCACTTTTACACCCTCCTCAGGGAGCCGGCTCCCATACCCTTCCCTGCCACCCCAAAGCTGGACGCCATTGTCCTCTCCCGCCTGCCCTCTGTCAGGTCTCCCTCCAGGACGCAGTTGCTCGATGTTCTGTACTGGAAGTACGTCGCCACGGAGGGCAGCAGGTCGCTGTTTGGGAACCATCATGCTGTGCCGGTGGCTAAAGGTTGCCTGCTGCCAGGCGCTTTGCTGAGTGTGCCCTGTCTTACTCTGAGACAGTCCGTGGCATCAGGCTTGACCCCCCCCCCCCCACCAGCAGGCCCGCTCCATGAGCTGGGGCCTCTGCAGCCATATGGTAGGGCAGCTTACCAAGCCAGGGCACTGACTTCTGTCCCAAGGCTGGGCAGGGAAAACAGCAGTGCCAGGCACTCTAGGACCCTAAAAGGAATTCAGTGACTTTACATGGCACGGCCTCTCTTCTCTTTGAGACTTACCTCCCTTTTGCTGGACCTTTTCTCATAACTGTGATTCTTCCTTCTTCTTAGGGGGATAACTCTTCCCTTCTTCACATGCTGGGACCTCACTCCAGGAGGTTCTGGTGGAGCATGAACCACTGGCTGGGGCATGGCCATTGGAAGCTTCCCAAGCGATGCAAATGCACAGCCCTAATAAAGCTTTTCAAAACTGTACATTAGAAACAGGTCACTTTTACATTCATGTTGGAAACTTGTCTTGAGACGAATACTTTTGAGCCACTGGGATTTTGGGGGGAAATATAGCTAAAAGGGTTAGGAAATGATACCTAAGGAAATTCTCCCATCTGATGCTTGCTTGCTGAAAACTTGAGTGTTTTCTATTAAGTGAGGCATTGTGGTTCCTGTGCTGACTCTGGTAGGCTCATTAATTTTTTAAGAAGTTGGAGCTCTGATGGTTTTCAGGGATGCTGAGTAGCTGGTACCAGATGTTTCTTTTGTTAAGGGCATAGGTAATCAGGCTATAGCAGACCACTCCCTTGGTCTGACACTATGGGTTTTGTGGTGGTGGATATTTTCTTAAACCAAGAAGGGTGTGGGGAGGTGCATGTTCTAGTTTCTAGTTGGTCTTTCCCCCAACACTGGCTCTTGCAGTATTATCTTATGTAGAGGTGTTGACTCAATTATCATTAGGCCCAGCTCTGTTAGAAGAAGAGTAAATGGTGTTCAGGGCCTCTTTATCTAGACCGTTTTGCCACAACTGAAGTGACAGCCTGTGCTTCTAACTGAATTCAGTCCTTTTTTTTTCACTGCCTTGCTGTGGAACAACAGCTAAGTCGGCCGCTCATCATTCGGATGCAGACTTTACAGCCTCTGAACAGCCTCTGCTTTTGCAGTTTATGAATGCACCATTTGTTGTTTTGAGCACAACTGTTAGATACAACTGGCCTCCGCAGCCCACTCTGCCGGCGACCAGTGTGCATCACTGCAGCCTTTTTTTCTTTTCTTTTCTTTTTTTTTGCATAGGCCAAATTTTTGCTTTAAATACCACCATTTTGTCCACACTAGAATTTCTTTGACCCAGCTTATATTTTTTCAAATGTAGTAAGTGTGCAGCACTTGGCTCAAACTGTTGGTCTAGGGATCCTGAATAAGTGCAAGTATTTTACTGTATTAAAGGGAGGGATTGTTTTTGTGGCTTGGTTTTGCACATATTTTTTATATTCTCAAACATGTGACTTCCAAATTTTCCTTTAAATTGGGTTGAAGAAAAAATATAATGACTTAGGAAATAATAAAACTTTCTATTTTTTCTTTTTGAGCTTTCTGCACAAATAATCGTCTTTAGTTTAGAACTTACGATCTTAAATGTTCTTATAACAAAAAATAAGACTTTGAGGTGATAGATGTTAGCTTGATTTAACCGTTTCACAATGTATACATATATCAAAACCTCACCTGTACACCATACATATATAATTTTGTCAACTATATTGTAATGTAAAATTTAATCTTTAAAAAAGAATTTAAGGGAAGCCATCAACACCAAACTTTACAATGTGGTAATGAAGAGTATAAGTAACTGTTTAATTTCATGTTCTTCTGCTCTTGAAACAGGGTCTCATGCAAAGGTGATAGCATTAATGTTAGGATTTTCATTTTTGTTTTGTTTCTCTCACATATACATTCTTTGACTCTGCGTAATTATATAGGTGTTGTGTTCTCTGGTTATATGCATTGACATTCCTTCTTTCTTTTTACAAGCGATTGCTATTTCTTTGTATTTTAGTTAATAAAGTACATTTTAATCTTTTTCTGCTGTACTTTACATATTCAACAACTGGTTCAAATTGTTGGTTCTAACTGCTTGTAGGCCTTGATTCTGCCAAGGAGATAAATTTCTGTGAAGGCAGCAGTAAACATCCTACAGCAACCAACTCTATGAGCCTCGGTATCCTGGAGCTTCCAAAAATGAAACAGTCACTTGTTGAAAATGAAGCAGCTTTCTATAGTTGAATTTCTAAGTAGATATATTTATTTGTTGTCTTTCAGAGAGGTTATGGAGGCCCTGGGTTACATTTACGTTTTTTATAAAATTGTGACATACAAACATAGTCGAAGGGGAAAGTATAATCTTTTGTAAGAGTCACGCTTTGTTCTTCATCTCTTTGTGTAGAGGGGAAGGTCTGTCTTTTTATGATTAAAAAGGACACCGACTCTTCCCACTACCTGAAGAACCCTGAAGGTCCATGTGAAGCCTAAGCAGCCATAAACAAGTTAGGGAGAAATGAGCTTGTGTATTAGTGCTTCCAAGAGCAGCTTTCTCAGCTCTGATCTGTTCTAATTTTCACCGCAGGTTTACATGTGTGGTCCCATGTTTTGGTGGCTGGTTTTGATCTGCACCTTTAAACTGAGCAAAGTCTCCTTGGACTTTTCTCCTTTTCCCATAGTTTCTTGCTGGCTTCTACCTGTGATTAATATGTGTGTTGCTTAAAATGGCAATTGAAACATCACCAGGAATTTTCACCAGGTAGAAACTGCTTTTCTATATCAAAACAACCAGTACAGCTTAGCTGATGCTTCTGTTGCTAAGCAGGTAAATTTCTGGTCTTCAGGCTGCCCTTCTTAACCCTGTAAATGCCTAACATCAACCAAGAAAGAAGAAAAGAACTTGATGCTTCTTTTTTACCTAGCGCTTTGTTCAAGTGCGTGACAATTGGACCTAGCCCAGCCTAATCTCGATGTATCTGTTTTAGAGGACCTAATCTCGATTTCCCTTTTTGCAGGGTAGGAGGAGAATTGGGAGATGGAGAGGGCCTGTAGGGTTGGTTGTTTCCAGGGAAATGTCAGCCCCAGTAGCTGATAGTGGAGGTCTCACTCTAGATGATCAAAATTATGAGTTGATTTCAGTCAGTAATGGGCCTGTCTTTTCTTTGGAATTTTTCTGTGCCTTTAACTGCCCTATGCCTGTGGGGAAAAGAAGAGGGAAGAAAGGGGTTGCTGTTTGCATCTATTTGCCAGAAAGGAGTTAACAGAACATACCGCAGAACAGGTTGGACAAGACTGTTAAAGCCAGTGATGAAGCCTTCCCCTCCCCCCTCTTTTTCTCTTTCCCTGCCTCCCTACCCCACTTCTCTGTGTTCCTCTCCTTTCTGCTCTGTGCCCCCCGCAACCTTCCCAGGACTTCAATACATCTTCAGACTAGACTCCCCCCACCAACACACACACACACACACACACACACACACACACACACAGACACACTTCAGTGTCTGGCTTTCTTTCTAGGCAGAACATCGATGTGAATAAAATACTTTGTGGAGCCTGTGCGAGAAGCAGGCAGTGGCTGTGGGCCTCGGCCTTGCCAGCTGTTTCTAGAGCAGTCGATGGCCTGCTTGCCGTGCCCTCTGTCATGTAACATAGGCCCCATTCAGCAGCAGCATTCTTGAGTGTGCATTTATGTCTCCGTGGGACTGTGGGGTAGATGGCCTGAGAGCGGGGAAAGCAGGAGATGGGAGGGGAGGAAGCGAGGTGGGGACGGAGAAGGAAGTGTGTGCACACGCAGACAGCTGGGGAGGGCAGTGAGGTGGAGTCACTAAAACCCAGTGCCAGTAAGTCAGGAGACGTTGCCTCTGGAAGCATCCGCAGTTAGCTCTGACTTATGGGACGTCTTGTGGCCATAAATGTGGAGAAACCATGCTCTTTAAAAGTCAGTTTGGGTCTGATATAAGTTCTGCTTTGTGTTTGTGTCCATTCACTCCGTAAACATACCATATATAGTCATGGTTGAGCTCACTATAACACGTATTGCAAGGGAGCCACTAGTAGTGCACACATCCTTTGGCTCTTAGAAGCAGACTCACATAGGCTATTTCTGGTGTGTTGTGGCTTTCTTCTTTCTTTTTTTGGGGGGAGATGGGGGAGGGAGAGAAAGGAGCTCTTTTTCCTTCCATCTTCACACTGTTTGGAATATGTTTCTGATTGTAGTTTGTCTGGCACTCTGAATGCTAAGGAACTGTATTGTCACGGCAGAAGAAACAATTCTCTGTGTGCATCTGTTTTAAAATAAAACTGTGTTTTTCTTAGTATCTTAACAGGCATTTTGTAGTTTATGGTCTCCAGTCTCCAGCTGTTTTTAGAGCACCTTCTAACTTTGAGAGGGTGACCTCTATCTAGCCTATAACATGGACTGTGGGTGGCTAGTGGAGGTACCTGGTGTGCTTTTCTGTGTCTTCTCTGGATCCTCCCTGAGCTGTCCACCTCTGTTTACCATGCTTCACCTTCAGACTGCTGGGGCAGGACATGCAGCTTCTGCAGAACTCATGGCAGCGGTTTTCTACTTGGCTGAGCTGGGTCTGTGAGGCAGAGAGCAATCAGTAATAGGAAAGAAATGCAATTGTTTTTTCTTTGCCCCCTTAGAATACCTACTATACTGCATTTCAGCTTGGAGTGCGCAGCATGAGGCATTTGTGGTTCAGATAAGAGGTCTTCCTTTTTCCTTTTCTTGTTTTCTTTTCCTTCCTTCTCCCCAACTCCCCAAAGGTTTACTTACTGCCTTTCTTCTCAGGCCACGTGTGTAGATAACACTTGAGGAAAAGATGGTTTCTGTGCTGGGATATTTGGATATTATGTAAAGGGACAACATGGGCCCTTTCTTTGCCTTGTTTTCTTTCATTGGCCTCATCAGAGTGAATTATATCTGACTGTGTGACAGTTAATTGTACCATCCTTCCCGTGTCCTAAGCTGATAAGCACCTCTCTGTCTGCCTCCATCAAGCTTCTTTGTTTGAGAAGTTCCTAATGCAGTAGAACAAAGTGACGGTTTTCTTATTTACTGAAGTCTCTAAAGCACATTTGTAATGAATGCTCTTCATTGTATCTTTCTTATAACTTCATTCCTTCAACTTATGTAATTGAATTGTTCCATAGTACCAGTAATTGGTAAGTTAAAACTTCCTCAGAAACATCAGTGAGTTCAGTAAAACAAAATAAAACACTTCCTCCTTTTTTAAGCTATGTGTATTTATTCTAAACTGTTAATGGCTTGGTAGATAGTGTTAAGAGTAAGACACTAGATACTGTTGGAGTGCCAATTACCGTTGTGGATATAGCAATTGATTAGCTAGCTGACTCAAGTAATATGTTGCTTATGTAGAGGTCATTTATTTGGCATGCTTCGGTCCAGAATATTCAACGGATGTGCTTGTGGGTAAGAGCCAGCAGGGTGTAGGTGGGGGGAGAGGTATATAAAATAAAGCTTTCAAAGCCACAAAGGTGTTAGGAAGTCTGGGTACTAACACTCCTGCTTTGATTCCTATTGATCCTTTAGGACTGCACTTTCGCTCTATTTATTCTTACTGTAGATACCGCCTTGACCACCTTGTCTCTCACATTTTCCAGTCAACACTTCAGAGGCCAATGTTGGGGGTGGATAAAAGCCATCAGAGGGAGACACATTAACAGCAAGCAGAAAAGATGTCAGGGGATGAGCCAAGAATTCACATGGTGTGGTGCATGGCGGGTTCCTCTTGGGGGAGTTTCACAGACTGGACAGAGGAGTCCTCTGAGTTGCTTCTTACAACTACCTGTGTATCCACAATTATCTCAGTAAAATTTTCAATTGAGAAAAAAGCATGACCACATGGTAGAGTGGCAAAAGTAAAGTAGGGGAGGATATGTCATTAGTTTCCAAAGGCGGCCTAGTATAAGTTGTTCATTGTGATGATCCTGAGTCACCCCTACAAAAGGTTGAATTAATCATACATTGATTCACCATGCTATGCTTAAGGAGACAGGGAAGTTTGAAAGATACTTAGAATGATTTACACCCAGGAGTTTTAGGTGGAAAATTGATTTCTGCATACTTCCCTTCCCCTTCAGTGATGTGCAGCTGCTTCATGAGTTAACATGATGTGTTAGAATAAACCTTTTGGTATGGTTAGACATACACTAAAATATTATTTATTTTGCCCAGATTCGTAGAAAAAAGTTATTCATTAACAGATTCAGATGATGTCCAAATACCATACCAGGTGGTCTGTAGGTTGTTTGTCTGTATTCCCTTTTTTTTTTTTGGAGACAGAGTCTCACTCTGTTGCCCAGGCTGGAATACAGTGGTGCAATCTCGGCTCACTGCAACCTCCGCCTCCCAAGTTCAAGCAATTCTCCTGTCTCAGGCTCTCAACTAACTGGAACTATAGGCATTCGCCATTGCGTTCCCCTACTTTTTGTATTTTTAGTAGAGTCAGGGTTTTGCTGTATTGATCAGGCTGGTCTCGAACTCCTGACCTCAAGTGATCCACCTGCTTGGCCTCCCAAAGTGCTGGGATTACAGGCATGAGCCACCGTTGTGGCCATTTGTCTGTATTCCACTGCGCCTGGCCATTTGTCTGTATTTCTGATGTGAATTGTATGAGTTTATCACCAAAAGAATATATAAAATATCATGGATTTTTAAAAGTAAATGATAAAGAAGATCCCTAGATACCAGAGAAATCATAGACATCCTGGAAAACATAGTCTCTGTAGAAAAGGAATCCTGAACTTAAAGGAAGTCTCAAGTTAAGTTTAAACCATCAGATGGTGAATTGAAAGAAAGGAGGGCCCTCATCTTAACTAAGACTCTAAAAAACATAGAATTTTAGAGCTGGAAGGAATGGACTTGCAAGGTCACTTGTTCTGTTTTTATGAGTTTGTCTTCATTTTACTCAGTGTTCTTTCACAATTCATGTCTGAGCCCAGAATTGAACAAGTCACTTGGAATAGTGTCCGCTTGGCTTTTTGGCCATGAAGAATAATCCTAACTTGAAAAATAAAAGATGCTTACTCAGCAGAAATTATTAGATTTTGGTTGGGTTGTTTTATTTTGTGACAGACTTTGATGCTTGTCACCCAGACTGGAGTGGAGTGGTTCAGTCTTGGCTCACCCAGGTTCAAGTGATTCTCCTGCCTCAGCCTCCCGAGTAGCTGGGATTAGAGGCGTGCACCACTATACCCGGCTAATTTTTGTAATTTTAGTAAAGACAGGGTTTCAACATGTTAGCCAGGCTGGTCTCAAACTCCTGACCTCAGGTGATCCAACCACCTTTGCTTTCCTGAGTTCTGGGATTACAGGCATGAGCCACTGCACCTGACCTGTTTTTTGTTTTTTTTAAGGTTATTTGCTAATTTATTCTTCTCCATAGTTCGGTTTTACAAGTAGAGAACACTTCAGTACTCCACAGTGCTGTACCAGACTCTTTCTTGGTCTTGTTAAGTACTAATAGACATTTTCATGGAAATCCCAGGGTTGAAAATTCCCGAGTTGCTAATACCTGCTAATGGTTGTCAAGTGGTTTGATATTATCTACATAAGTCCAGAGCATTACTGGACCCGGGTTTTAATAGACTCATAGATAGATAAATTCGAAACATTGTCATATTAGTTTTTAATTTCTTTAAGTCTTCTGTGCACTTAGATTTGCTGTAACACAGAGTTAACATATATAAGGTTGGTAGAAATTTTTTGTTCCTGATTCAGATAGGGTTTGCATGTGTTTTGGGTTTTTTCTCCATAAGAGAAATTGTTCCCTTTGAAATTTGGTCTTGTACATATCCATGACAACTATACCTCCCGATTGCTATGCCGAAGGTGGAAAGTATTCTCTTGTAGTGTAGACATTGGTTGCACTGTCAGGTAAGGGAAATGCAACTAATTCCTATTGGAATTGCATACTAGAAATAGGAATTAGTTGTCTGACTGTTAGATGTTCAGGGCAAATGGAAAAGAAAAACCAGGACTTCCAAGAAGCAGGTCTGTGTGTTGACTCTTTGGGTTGGAGACAGCACAGAGGGGGCTTGCAGGATAGATGTGGCCGAGGGTGGAAAAGCTTGTCTTCAGTGCCTTGTGATAACCCATGGAAGTGACCTGCAGCCTATTGAGATGGCGACTCCATTTGAGACGATGTGCTTGTAACATCTGCTTGGTAGGCAGAGCCTCAAGGACAAATGTTGGGAGACTGGGATAGTGGAGCAAGGAGTTGCAGGGAAAGAAGCATCCACACTTGGATTTGAACAGCTGCTGGCTGCCCAGAGATCAGCCTACATGAATCATAGACACAGAGAACTCATCTGTGCAGCTGGAGGCTGAACATGGAGAGGGAAGGAAGGGAGCTGCTTTCAGTTAATACTCTGATGCTTCCAGAGTACTTTAAAGACATTGGGTGGTTCATGGTTTTAAAAGCTTCGCCATTTTCACATAATTCTATCTTTTATTTAATATTATAAATGCTATCAGTCTGCTTTAAACACTGACTAAAATTGCTTTTACTAGACATCATATTATTTATAAGGGGGGAGTTGAGACCCAAAGAGGAGGATTTGATCAATTGATTTAAGGTTGTTGGAGGATTGAAATGTTACTTGAAATCCAAGATTTCAAGGAAAAGTGGACAATGCCTGCTTTTATCTGAGGGATTTCAGCAGTCATATGATCTACAAATCAGCCCCCAGGAGCAGCAAGCCCTGACAACCTCTGTGCTGTGGAGTCCACAGAGGAGGGACTTCAAAGTGGGCAGGATGTGCTGGCTTGCAAGTCATTTAGCTGAGAACTGGTTTTGGTCATGGCCTTAACATCTGCATAGAAGTTGCACATTGCAGGCACATGACACTTGAATGGCCTGAGATTCAGATACAGGTTGGTAGAACTTAAAGGGGAGGTAACATTAGTGAGGTCACTGGGCAGCAGCACCACTGCTGAGCACACCCAGCAGTTCCTTGCAGGGCCCGGAGAAGGTAGCCTTGCCAGGTTGGGGCTGGGAGTGGAGATCATCTTGTTCTCACAAATCAATTACTGACACGTAGACATGTATAAAAGTCTGAAACCACAAAGCTCTTTGGACATTTTGGCTATATAAAGCATACCATTTATAAGCTCCCAGGAATTATAGTTTGAGTGTCTCTTGGGATGAACAGAACTGTGGATGAAATAAACCAAGCAAGTGAGATCACAAAAACGATGTGAAATTACTTTTATATGCTTTAGTTGTCAAAATATTGGATATTCTTATTATATTTCTCTTGTAGACACATACACAAGGACACTGATTTGAGGGTGCATTATGAGTGTTAGACAATCACCTTGCTAAATAATAGGGAATTCTGGGGCTTTATGGGAGAGTGATAGTAAGATGTGATCCTAAGTTTGTTAGCTATGTGTATAAGTCCACTTGGTATCTAATTGCACGTTATTCCTGTTATTTCTAGTATCCTAAGGGAAACTCCCCCACTGTTAGCTCCTTATTTAAGTAAATAAATAAGCCTGTTTTAGGGTATACATGAAGACTTTGTTGGTCTCTCCAATTTCTTATAAGTGGTATATTATGTGGTTTTAAAAACTAGACCTTTGCCGGGGCACGGTGGCTCATGCCTATAATCCCAACACTTTGGGAGGCTGAGGCAGGCAGATCACGAGGTCAGGAGCTCAAGATCAGCCTGGCCAGTATGGTGAAACCCTGTCTCTACTGAAAATACAAAAAAATTAGCCAGGCGTGGTGGCGCATGCCTGTCATCCCAGCTACTTGGGAGCAGGAAAATGGCTTGAAACTGGAAGCCGGAGATTGCAGTAAGCCAAGATCACACCATTGAAGTCTGGGCGACAGAGTTAGACTCCATCTCAAAAAAAAAAAAAAAGACTCTCACTAATGTTAGATCTTCAGGTTTTCATTATTGTTAAGTGACTTTTTATGTCTCCTGAAAGGAGAAAATAATCCACTCACCAAAAAAACGTGACAGTTGTTGAATAGCTATGAAAAATATTAGAGAAATTCAGTTTTTAGTATTGGGGCCTTTTTATTATTCTCAACTTTGATTTTACAAGCTGAGCTATAAATGTGACCAAATGCATGACATGAGTGTTTACCTTTTTTTTCTTTCCTTTTTGGCCACATGCAAGTATCTAAAGAGATGGAATGTAACACACCCAAAGAATGAGGCACTCAAGTGGCCTATGAACTTGAGAAGGCCAGGAGCAGCAGGGTCCCTTCATCTCAGTGCTTAGCTTTGCCAGTGCTAAGTGGGAAGCAGACGTCACTGAGCTCCTTAGCAAGTGAGTTTTTTAAATACATGTATACAAAGGAGTTGTTCTACTGCTCTCTGTAGAAACTGCTAGGGAGAATTCTAGCAGGAAATTCTGTTACCTCTGAGATTAATTGTCTATCCCACTAAAAGTCCTCAAACATAGCCCTCCAGAGAAGTGCTGCTTTGCTCTTGTAGACCTATGCGATTCTCATATACTTCTTAGTTCCCTCTCCCCAGTTCTTGAGGTGTTCTGGATTATAATGTGTTTTGGCGCGCGTGCACGCGCGCATGTGTGTGTGTGTGTGTGTGAGAGAGAGAGAGAGAAGGGGGTATTAATCTTTGTGAGAGGATCTTTTTCACGTTTCATTCCACATAGTGTGGTAAGTAGTGTACTGTTGACAGCTCATCACCTACATGTTAAATTGCAAAATGTTCCTAGGTTAGTAGAACTATGATTTTTTTTTTTAGTTTTGTGGTTAAATTCTGATGCTCTTAAAGAGATCACTTTCTTCTATTTTGGCAAAACAGGTTATCAATTCACACATGATTACATAAATAAAATTGAAACTCTTTACTCTTCCTCCTTCCTACTGAATTAGAGTTAAGGGATTCTAGTAGCGGCATGCGCGCGCATGCGCGCGCGCGCACACACAAACACACACACACATTCTGCTTTGTTTCATGGGGCTCGATTCCAGTGTATTCACTTTTCACATTTTTAATACATTTTAGCAGACTGAGCTTTCTAAATTATTAGCAACTAGTACATAATCATGTTGCAGTGAATAATTTTTATATTTAGTGAGAAACAGACCCAAAATAGGACGTTAAAAACCATCTATTTTGGTGAATAGAAGTGAATGAGAGTAGGGTAGAAATTATGGCTGATTTTATGAAATACCTCAGATCTGTTTGATATAAGACTGATGATATGGGCATCCTTTTTATAATGAAGTCAGGTTAAGTGAAGCTGTGTTGAAGTATTAGACAAACCCTGAAATTCCAGTGGCTCAACCCATAAAATGCCAACTTGTTTTTGTAGAATTCTCTGCAGGTCTGGCAGCTCTCTAGTATAGCTCCCTTCCAAGTGGTAACCCAGGGATCCAGGCTGCTCTTGTCTTACAGCTACTCTGTTGTTACACATGCTTCCAGGTTGCCACTGGAAGGAAAGAGCTAGTGGGTTACATATCTACTTGTGAAAGGCTGCAGCCTAGAAGAGATGGCTGGCACTTGTGCTCACAGCTCATTGGCCAGGACTAGTCATGTGACCTGCCTGACCACAGAGGTGTAGGGTTGCCAGAAAATATCAAGAATACATGGATCTTCTTTGAGCGGCAGACATCTTTGTTTTGCTTTCCTTTTCCATTTCATCTCTATACACATAAACTTGATGAAGCTTAGGCCTGAAGCCTAGAACATAATGATCTAACCACCATAGAGCAGTGGTTCTCAAAGTTGGTCCCCAGACAAGCAGCGTTAGCATCACCTGGGAACTTGTTAGAAACAAATTCCTAGGCCCCACTCCAACTCTGCTGAATCAGAAATGTGGAGGTGAGGTCCAGAAATCTGTTATAATATAAGCTCCCCAGGTGCATGGTAAAGTTTGAAAATGACTGCCCAATGGGAGTACAATGTTTGTAGCACCTACTGAACTCAATGATGGGATGTGATAGGCACTTGTTAGTGTGAATGTACAGTGAATGTAGGGACTGATAGGCACTTGCTAGTGTGAACATATAGTGTGTGTGTGCTCAGGTGTGAGCATGTATATGATAATAAAAAGCACTGAGAGGTGGTATGTGTCCTAGACAGGTTTTAGCACTTTATAGATTTGACTAATCTATTTCTCTCAACAATTGTATGTATTCAGTATTAATTATTATTGTATTCATCTCACAGATGAGGAAGTTGCAAAACTGAGAGGCTCCCTATTTATCTAAGGGTCAGGCCACTTACCACTGCTGGTAAGTGGTAGAGGCAGGATTTGAACCTAAGTGATGTGGCTCCAGAGCCTGCTCCTTAACCACTGTGCAGTTCTGCTTGCTCATCTTTGGGTGGAAATGCACTAGGCCTTAAAGGTAGTTTTTTCATTTTTTTTTTTTCTTGAATGGAGACAGTCTATCAGAGTTCGTAGGAAGTGTGGTATGCCGGTGACAGTTCATATTCCAAGTTAAGCCCCCTTACCAGGGGCTTCATTCATTGTTGGTTTACGCATGTGGGAGGTAGTGATGGTGCTGGCCAATCTTAGAGGAGCATGCCTAGGCAGCAGCTGGCTAGTCATTTAAAACTGAACAATAAATAGAATGGGGTTGTTAAGGGTGAAACGAAGGGGCCTAGTGGGAAGTGGTTTCTCAGACGGAGATGGAGATAGTTCAGTCGCACTAGAAGAACGTTTTCTTCAGTTAACCTGTGTGTAATTTTCAGGCTATGAGAAGAGGCCCTATTCTCATCACCCTCTCTTGTGATTCTTCTTTGGTCTTTTATTTTCCCATCATCCATCTGCCTGTCCTGAGATGCTCATCTGAGGCGTGATTCCATCAGGTGGTCTGAAGAAGGTTTCTATGAAGCCTTTATGAGCTGGAATTCAGTTTTTTGTTTGAGACAGAGCCTTGCTCTATTGCCCAGGCTGGAGTGCAGTGGTTGCTCACCGAAACCTCTGCCTCCCAGGTTTAAGTGATTCTCCTGCCTTACTCAGCCTCCTGGTGGTTGGGATTGCAGGCATGTGCCACCACACTCAACTAATTTTTATATTTTTGGTAGAGACAGGGTTTCACCATGTTGACCAAGCTACTCTCAAACTCCTAACCTCAGGTGATTCACCTGCCTCAGCCTCCCAAAGTGCTGGGATTACAGGCGTGAGCCACCGAACTGGCCAGGATTTCTATTGTTGTTGTTGTTGTTGTTGAGACAGAGTCGCACTGTGTTGCCAGGCTCCTGGAGTACAGTGGGGCTGTCTTGGCTCACTGCAATCTTTGCCTCCTGGGTTCAAGCGATTCTCCTGGCTTAGCCTCCCAAGTAGCTGGGACTACAGGAACGCACCACCATGCCCAGCTAATTTTTGTATTTTTAGTAGAAACCATGTTGGCCAGGATGGTCTTGATCTTCTGACCTCGTGATCCACCCACTTAAGGCTTCCAACAAAGTGCTGGGTAACAGGTGTGACACGCCCAGCCCAGGACTTTAATAGAGAAAATGTTTTCCTTTCCAAGAAATTTCATAAAATGGTCCCCCACCCCCACCCCTTGCACTTGGGAAATCCAGATAGAGTTAGATGTGATCTAATCTTTTGAATTTCGAACTGATTGAAAAGGATTTTCCAGTTGACATTGAGAACTGCTTGTTTCTTTGCATCCTTTTAAATTTTTTAATTATTAACTGCATTTTCTTTCTTCCAGGTGGGTCTATTATTTGTTGTTGTTTAGGTGTCCTTTGCTGGCCCATGCATTCCCTTGGCTTCTTTGTCTTTTGTGTTCAGCAGACTAGAACTGAGACAGCTCCTTGGCAGCTCTGCCCTGGACAGTACCGGCTTTAACTCTAGGTAGAAGTTAAAGATAGCATCACCCCTTTCGGGTTTCATGTTGGCTGGAAACAGCTGCTAAGTTTTGTATAACTCAGAACGTAACATTTCATTCCAGAATTGCTGAAATTTTTAGTTTTCTGCAAGCTAGGGCTTAACCACAGGGTTTTTTCACATTCAGACTTAAGAGTCTAGACTTTTCCTTTGAGAAGCAGTTGCTTGTCTTGGAGTTTAGTAATTTAAGAGAACAGAGGTGGGAGAGGGAGGGAATTATTTGCATAAGTTGTTTTAAAGCTCCATCCACTTCCTTTCCCTTCATCACTTTAAATGGTTTAATTTGCTTAGGTACTCCAGCAGAGGTGTAGATAATTGAAGTAAATCTTGAGTCAGATCTAAACAAAAGAAAGAACTGACCTAAAAAAGAGCAACTGAACTCACACTAATTGAATCACAGATTTGCCCAGACCAACTTAACCTGTGAGGAAGGCCAGGGAACAATCACTGTGCCATTGGGGAGCTTTTTGCCTCTTGAGAGGGAACACCAGCCAGTTCCTTGCGGCTCTCCCAGCCACCTTCCACACTGAGCCACATCTGGGTTAGAGCTGCAAAATTCAGCCTGAAAAAAAAAAATGTGAAAGCCATTTTAGGTTGGGCATTTGGAAAACATTTTTGTCTCCTTTTGGAGACCTGGTGCCTTGGTTTTTGTATATGGAATCCTCTTGTTTATTCTTTAGGAGAGGAGCAATGTGTGTGAATTGGGCATCTGTTAGAAGAAATGTAACAATGTAACGAGCTTGCCTGTCTGTAACAGCTGGGCTAATAATGCAGCCCTTTGAAATAAGACAGTAGATTTTCCTTCCTTCTCCTTAGCCAGCTATCCAGTGTAGGAAATGGGATGCTATACATACCCTGAGTGGGAATAGAGGGTTCCAGAGTGCCATTTGGCTGCTCCTGTGTGCCCATTCTTGTTCAGGAGCACCTTGAGATTACATGGTCTTAAATACCAAAGCTGACCAAAAGCTGCCCCTCCATTCAGCTTCATCATCCCTGGCTGTTGGGGAGGCCTTTGTTTGTCTGACTGCCACCGGGCTGCCTTGCCCCAGCTCCCTGGGGTCCTTTGCTACTTAATCCATCAGCTCTTCTTTTTTCTTCTTACTGACAGCATAGGACCTGACTGCCCATTTTTTGGAGATGACTAATTAGCAAAATATTTGGCTGGGTGCAGTGGCTCACGTATGAAATCCCAGCACTTTGGGAGGCAGAGGTGGGCAGATGGCTTTAGTTTAGGAAGTTGGAGACCAGTCTAGGCAACATGGTGAAACCCTGCCTCTATCAAAAATACAAAAACTTAGCCACACATGATGGGGCATGCCTGTAGTCCCAGCTACTCAGGAAGCTGAGGCACAAGAATTGCTTGAACCTGAGAGGTGGAGGTTGCATTGAGCCGAGGTTGTGCCACTACACTCTAGCCTGGGTGACATTAAGACTCCATCTCCAAAAAAAACTGGGTG